AGTTAATTAAAGCCAAGTTTCTATTGGTATTTCGTTTCCATGTATCAGTATTTTAGTAAAACATGTTTTGAAATACAATATTTTAATTGTAAGTCAATGATTTTAAACACAAATTTTTATGAATCCATCCAAAACATGGCTATAACTTTAAAAATTCAGTTGGGTGATGTGTCGTTTCTATGTGTATACTGTCCTCCCAAAAGTAGTCAATTTGATAGTAACAAATTAAAAAACATTATAAATAATATGCCTAAACCATGCATAATCATGAGTGACTTTAATGCACATCACCTTTGACTTACAAAACATCACAGACTTTTTGGTTGTTATAGTAACAACAATAGAGGCAATAGTTTGTATAATTTAATAGATGAATTGGATTTATGCATTTTAAATGATGGCACACCAACTACATGTCCATATCCCAATAAACAAGCTTCTGCAATAGATTTAAGTTCTGTCAGTCCTTCCATAGATCATTTGTGTGAATCGCAGGTCCAGGATGATCCCATGGGTTGCTATCATTACCCAGTAACTCTTCATGTGAACATCCAACCATCGTTGTATGAAATTAATTCCTTTGAAAAAAATTCATTTATAATAAAGCCAATTGGTCGGAATTCTACGAATTGTCTAAAACATGTTTTTCTGGTTTAAACCTTAAAGATGATGATTCACTAGAGCTTTATAACAGTTTTGTCAATATTTTAAATGATTTGAGAGAAAAGACTATACCCAAAAGTATAGGAAATCCTAATAAGACAATTCGTAGAAAACCAGCAGTTTGGTGGAATGAATAATGTGAGGATGTAGTTAAAAAATCAAAAGAAGCATTAAAGCAATGTGAATTAAGTCCATCTATAGCTAACTTTATTCAATACACGAAAATGGAAGCTCATAAGAAAATAACTATTATAAAATATATTAACTAGCTTATTAATGTAAAATACAATAATAACAACCCAAAACTTTTTCACTTAAACGCTTTTCAGTTTGAAGCTAACAAAACCGTTTAGAAAACGTTTAAGCGCATAGACTTTTATGTTAAACAAAGCTTGCAACATTGTTGTGTTGATAGCGAAACGCAAGAGTAGACCACTAAAGGTTTTAAGATAGGTAAGTTTTTTGTAAGAAACGAGTTATATTTTTATTTATGACATAACATTATTATATTAACATTTTGTTCATTGTCGTTTAAAAACATAACTCGAAATGGAAAAACTGCTTATTAACGTTAAAACGTACGTTTAAAAAGCGTGCTTGTAAAAGCGCTTTTTAGTTTGACGCTTAAAAAGTAATATAGAAAAACGTTTAAACGCAGACTTTATGTTTAAAAAAGCTTGCAACGTTATGTTGAATTAATTTGTTTAAGAAAACATAGATGGCGCTACTTGAAACTTAGGCATGTTGTAAAAAATAAAATTATTGAGTATCTATAGGACTGACCAGTGATCAACGCTTACGCTTAAAATGAAAAGCGTGCTTATGCGCTTATTTTAAAAAGAAAGACTTTTTAAGTGCTTTTCGTTTAAACTCCCACCTCTAGACAGTTGTATGCGAAACCAAGTCTATGATCTATGATCGACTGAAGGACATTGTATCCAGGTGATGGAATAAATTAAAAAAAAAACATATGTCAAAACATTGTCAAAATTACGTATGACCACTGTTGCCAGATTAGGCGATTTTACGCCATTTATAAAAAAAAAATTAATAGAAAATATTTATTGCAGACAAACAGTCCATTTTGTTAGTACACTTACTAGCTATCTATTCTACTGTTAGTACAAAAATTACAAAATAAAAATAAAATAATATGAATGAATGAATGAAATGAATTGAAATGATTACATGATATTGTTAAGTTCAGTGAAGTTCGGTGAACCTAGCAAACATATCGAAGTCCCACCTATCATTTTAAAAACTCTGTTTGAGCTCTCTCGCACTCTGCACAGGCAGTATGCCACCTTTTTACGCATTAGAACGTAAAAATCCTCTACACTAGCATCGGCAAACATGCCTGACGCACTGCAGTATCGAGGAAGCCCAAACAGAGCCCTGAACACATTATTATACATAATGCGTAGAGAGTTATAGGCCTTCTGAGTGAAATCGACCCATAGGCTGCTTGTGTAGAATGTCTGGCAGTATGTTTTGAAAAGCGTTATTTTGACTTCAGCTGTACAACGTGCAAACCTTTATGCCAGCATAATATCCTGAACTGACAAAGCCCTGCTTTCCTTTTCTATAAACTTAGGCTACTTTTAGGGGTCGCGCGGCGACTAAAAAACTAAGCGGCGACTCGGGGATATTTAAAATAGGAAAATCAGCTGTTTGAAATAGGAAAAGGCGATTTTAGGCTACTTAATAAAATGTCTGGGGAATTACAAATTTTATTGGGGATTTTGTGGGGAATGGAGTTGTAAAATAACTCAATTGTAGAATTGTTGTTCTTGATTTTTACGGATTTTATGGCTTGAGCGAATATCGATTACTTAGCACACATAAATTGGCGAATTAACTTCGCCAAAGTCTGGCAACACTGCGTGGGACGGACGTGACGGCTGACGACGAAACCGAAACCAAACCCAAACGCAGCTGACTTCGTTGCTTTTCAGCGCAGTATTGTTCATTTTATGAGTTTGTTCGGATGTATTTGGACATGCAGTGAATACAAAATGTTGGTGGCATTTGGACGTTGCGTTGTTTTTATAGTGCTTGGAAATCTGTTATCGTATGCATTAAGCGTGCAACATGACGACAAGTCATTGTACGTGGCACAGGAACCTGTGGCGAATGGACGATTTGTGATAAATAGGGGTGAGGATACACCGCACCTAGAAAGGCAAAAACGGGATGCATCAACATCACCGCCGGCGGCGTTACAGAAAAACATAAGTACTTGGGTAACTGTTCATTTCCTTATTATATTCAATCACACCACTCCCCTTTGTTAGTCTGGAATTTGTCGCCCCTCACCCGTATGAAGTTGTGAGGATTTATTGTTTGTCATTGTATTGCGTTTACTTTCAAGAAATTACTATTTTTATCCCAAATGACGACGCAAATAAAAGAGTGTTATTTTTTATGACAGTGCTAATGCCTTGTAGTAATAATATTTTTAAGACTTTCCACTGTTCAATGATTTTCTTTTGGCTGTTCTGCCAAAACAGAACAATAATATGTTTTTCATTTGCAACCAATTGCACAAGGTTTCATGACTAGACAAAAGTTTTCCCTTTTTTAGATATTGTGCACATTAATATCTTTTTTATTTAAATGGTTTTATGACGTTAAAACAATACTGTGCTGATAAATAATCAGCGAAATGTAAACATAGCTTATTATTGATGATCACAACTGATAATTAGATAAAATAAAGATGTTAAGTAATTCAATCTCTAGGTTTGCTTTGATAAAGTGCACAACAGTACTAGGTGCATTTAATAATGACCAATCAAATTCAAAGATCTTTTCAGCAATCAGTAGAAATTTATCACATTCTAGAAAAGTTCTGGGAAATAGTCATGTAGCACAGTCCACACCAAATAGATCTGAATCATATTGATTGAAACTGATAACAATTAAAAGTGCACCTTGAAGTCAGGTCACATAATGTCAAATAATTTTAACATATATCATAATAAACAATTTGAGTAACAATTTAATTTAATTAAAAATAAAAATCAACTTTTATAAAACTTAACAATAAGAGAATTTCAATGAAACCATAAATACAAAAATAAGTAAAATGAGTACAACTTGAACCTAGCTGTGAGACCTCATAGATGCTCATAAATAATTTTAGAGATTGGTGGAATATATCTATTCCAGTGCTATATGTATGTATAACATACACTATATGTATGTATGATGTAAATAGGTACTGTTCACATTAAATAAGGGGATTAAGAAAAGTCGTACAATAATTAAAGAGATAATATTATTTGATCCTCAAGTATATAATTATGATCTACAGTAAATGTGCACTTTTTTAAATAAACAATATTTTTTTATGTTTGTTATATATTAAATATTAGTATACAAATATAATCAACATTTACTTTTTTAAAATAAGTATCTAAATTTTATATTTAATGTCATTTGTCTTAGTTTTGAGGCTCAACATAAAACTATCAAAGTATAGTATAGTATATCATAAATTTATAGAAATCAATAATTTCAAATCAAAGTATAGTATAGTATATCATAAATTTATAGAAAGCAATAATTTTTTGTGTAGCTCAGAACAGATTAAAATAATGATTGATTAAATTTATTTTATGTCTCAGAGAAAAAGGATCAATTATTAAAAAGAAGACCGTTTAGTATTTTTGCCTGCTGATTTTGCAAATTTAAAAGGATCAATTAATTACATGCCATAATTAAGTATACTGGTGTTTTCCCTCAGACCACCCACTTAAATGACAGTCATCAGCAATTAATGGTACATTGGGTGGGCGAAGGGTCAAATGTCATCATCTGTTTGGCCCGAGACTCCAGCCCCAGAAACAAAGGAGCTATTTCATCGTCAGCTCTCTTCATCTCATATGACTATGGAAAGAACTTCACCAATAAAACTGAAAGCTTCAAGTTGGATGATACACCTAACAGTGGATATGCACAGTTGGATAAATTCTTCAACCATCCTAAATATCCTGAATTTGTAAGTATTTGTATTCCGTAGAAGTTTTTGAGTTTTGTTTTTGTTTCTCATTTAGATATAAACATGTAAATTCGTATAGCTACTAAATGGTATGTTTCAGTTTTTTCCTAATTTCCCTAACAAATTCGCACTTTTTTATAGGAATAATATTTTTTGTGTTATTCCTTTGTTACAATAAAGAATATGCACAAGTTTTAAATATTTACAAACTCGATTAAATCAATATGGATTCCTTAAATTTTTTCTATACAACTGTTTTCCTTTGAATGTGGAGTGACGTAAAACTATTTCTATTACATATTTATATTATATCTTTAATGAATTGTTAACATTTATTTTTACATGCAATTAGTTAAATTTGTAATAAGATTTTGTACACAAGGGGTCCCTTTCTATGTGATACAGGTATATTTTGCTTCACACATTATGTATTTTTAAAAGTATGTAATACAGCATTCATGGTTTTTTTTAAAAAGTTGCTTGCCTCATCTGTGAATCGAAACAACCAAATATGAAAAAATGAAACAGCCTATATTGTTAAGATGCCAAAGTAAAGGGCCATTTATAAGGATTGATTCCTTTCAAGTAACAGACATAGTATTGAATTAACTTTTTAAAAATCTTTGAATGCGGTATGTACTTACTTTTAAAAGTGATTCCATGAATCAAAATATCTACAATATTTAAAGTACTTTCCCTCCATGTCGCATAGCCGTAGTACCACCTCTAAATTGTAGTTAGTCTGATTCAGAACCGCCATTATTATATGCTGTCAAAGATAAAGGTGATGCCGGGCTGGATTCGTGCAAAACCTCGTACACACATGTGTGCCTACTTGAACTGGTTGTTGCCTTCATTTATTACAATCATTATCTAGTCTATTGCGAGAAACACACGCGCGGGTTTCCCGCTTCATGCATTGGACGCTATGATTTATAATTTTTTCGTTATAAATTTCTTTTACCTGTGATGATTAATGATTTTTGCATAGATTGATTCTGGAGGTGTCGTATGAACAATCAAGTTGTGAACGATCGCGACATACTTGAAATGTGTTCATTTTTGCAACAGCTGCATTTTTGCTTTGGTTATTCAAAATAGATGAACCACTAGTGCCACTGGTACAGAATTATGACTAAGTTTTGTAATAATTTTAAATGGATTAGTCATCAGTACAATGTTCAATAGCCTCAAGTTTAAAGGAAAAAAATGGTATTATTACCTTCTTAAATTATGTTTATTACCATGTTCAAGTATGTTGGTAAAGCTTTGATACAAAACAGGTTTTAAAAGTGTATTTTAAATATTTAAATATAATTATATTGTTTATGTCTTCTTAAAAGTACTTGCCTCTTATCTAAATTGAACATCGATAACTGCGTCCTTTACCCTTAAAAGTTCCTGTTTAAAGGACCACAATAAAGGTTTTCAATCATTGTTTTGGGGCAAGTGCCATGACTCCCGATAACTACGTCAAAGTTTTTTCTAGAAGAATCATAACACTTGAGAATGGTCCATATTAGAGAGATGTAAGGTTCCATATATCAGCCAAGGTCCAACATATAAAAATATTTTTCCTTTCAGTGTGTCTTCGTGGATTCGACGAACAAAAAACTGTTCTACACCAGTGATAATGGACGTACGATCAGTAGATCCGACTTGAGTTTCCATCCAAGTGAGCTGGCATTTGACGAGGAATTCCCCGACAAATACGTTATTTTGGATAAAGTCGATAGCAATAGGAAGGTAAGAACTGCTTTACATATTGAAATCCAATTGCTTTAGGCACTTCATCTGTACGAATAAATCAACATAGAAAAAAAAAATTTGATGAAATGGTTTAATTCTGTGAGCAGGTCTTGTACTCTCGTTCTTCGTCCGAAATCCGTCCGAAACAATTACTGTTAAATAAATAATACTCGATCTAATTAAAAGCAGCATGATGCGAATGACGCTTTATACTTGACATTGTCTTTTAATTTGGTCGAGTATTACTTAATTGTTTCGGACGGATGTCGGACGCGGAGTACGAGAGTAGACCCCCCAGTTACGGCGACTTTTAGCAGCGCGTTTCAATTGCACCGCGACACTAGCGCATTGGTGGTTGCATCGGTGCAAACGAGCTATTGCAACGATGCCGGCAGTGTGTGTTGAATCATTAAGAGCGTGTATCGCGTTTACGTCGCATTGTTTTGCTGCTTAAGTCGCGCGTGTGCGTAAATGTAGATAATGCATCGCGATAGCGACTGAATCGCTGCAGACGTGCGGCTAAAATTCCGGAGTGTAACTGCTCTTTGGATTGACATAGGATTGTTATTACCGAACTACGTAATACTATAGGCCACGCCATATTATAAACTATGTTTTTTCGGCGCTAGGTAGAAGTTAATTACTTGCTTAAATAATGGGTAGGTACTGTTGGCACTTAAAATTATAACTATCATTAGAAATATCGTAAACCGCATAATAATTATACAAGAAATGCACAAGAACAAATGACGAACAAAGAGTCAACGGAAAACGTAATAGTGAAAATAGTATACATTATTATAGCGTGAAAGAGGCTTTTGTTTCGTACTACAATACAAATGATTTATTTTTTCCGGTGTCAAAGAGCTAATCGACCACAGTAATTTTTTCAACCCAATCACCATAGCGACATTTTGTGCCGTATCTATTATATAAATACCTACCTATTGTAGAATCTTGCTCTTTTTGTACTAGACACATGTCAATTTATTTACATGTAGATATTCAAATTTTAAGTGGGTACTGTTGATAATTTGAGCAAATATTTTGCAGAATTATAATAAAGAACATTGTAACATGTAATAAATTTCTACAGGCCGGGAGAAATTTTGTATGGCCTGCATTTGTGTCTCTTGTGAATTTGAGTGTAATTACAACCAATTTATGATTGTCTATATGTGTGTCCATGGCACCCGCAATACGGGGTTTCCCTATTGCAGGGCTATGAGTGCGTGCGTTATTATTGTATTATAGTACCTACTTACACTATAAAATACATATTATCTATTTGTAATCAAAACTACTTTGATCCGTACATTTTAACGCAGGAGTTAATGTAAACAATTTTATTGTAGCTCTTCCTAACACTTGACGGAGGAAAGACTTTTAAACATATTCAAAGCTACGTGAAGTCCTTCTTCTGGTCTGCGGGTGTGGACTTCCCCAAACAGTTCTACGTGGAAAGGTGGAAGCCCGATAAGACGAGTACTGTATTGACTGCTAGCGATCCCGTGGACATTGGCAATGCAAAGAAGCTGTTTGAAGACGCCAAAGACTTCCAGATCAAAGGAGACTATATGTTTGCCACGAAGCAATCAAAAGAGGTGAGATTTTTCTTTATATAATATTATTTCGTTCATTTAATTCTAAGACTAATTATAATAAGCAAAAAATTAACCACGAAATCACCTGATTGTAAGTACTGACGTCGTTAATTATTAATTCTCGCCTTGAAAACGCCCAAGTTATTGTCGTGTTTTTTTTTCTTTAGACGATAATGAATACCGATAGGTTCTATAATAGGGTACCACATACACAAAATGTTTTTCTTGCTTCAATTCACATGAAAATGCTAAAAATAATAATAATAGTTAGTATCCCAATGCAAATTTTTGGGAACTTCACACACATTATTAAATTGCTTTGCAGATCTGAGCAGGTTTCATTACGATGTTTTCTATTCTATTAATTTCAAGTTAAAAATAAAAAGTTGTTACAAAATATACTACTGAGACCCTGTTTATTACTTTTTCGATATCTCGATTATTACAAAAGATATAGTTGTAGTCTGTGGTGGGGTATGTGCCATCCCGTTCTAACAAAACGATCTTTACTATGTACCGTGTGTGGCGCCATTATGGTTGTCACATTAAGAATTATTGTTGTCGGGTTTCTTCTAAGTGAAATTTTACTTAAAAAAAATTTTCTAGTAAATGCACGTTCACTATTTAGATTGTAGCTTTCCGCAGCTAGTGATTTTTTTAAATAAATTAAATTCTTTTTAACCGACTTCAAAAAAGGATGAGGTTCTCAATTCGACTATTTTTTTTTGTATGTATGTTAGGCGATAATTCCGCCATTTGTGAACCGATTTTGATGATTCTTTTTTTGTTGGAATTCATTTTTATAAATAATGCCTAAATTTTATTATAAAGAGTTATTTTAAAGATTATTTTAATGGTTGATTTTGCTATTTTTCAATTCAAGGCGTTTTTCTCTCAATATACTTTGAGTAGTGAGAACCGATTTTTATTATCGCCTGTGTCAAGTTCCGTATAGTGGCGAACTAGGGGACGAATCCGGGTTTGCGCACTTTCCGGTAACCGATTTCAATAAAATTCCACGTACTTTTGAGGTCGGTTTTTTTAGTACTCTGTACTGAGATTATTGTTCCATACTTATAATGCAATATGCGAGGAGGTCCCGGGCCCAATTTCCGGTGAGACCAAATTGGGGAATGAACTTTTCTAAATTTGTTCTGGTCTGGGTGTTCTGGGTAGTGCCCTGAATGATCTGCGTTGCTCTGGTCCTCATAGTACAGCGTATTCTCCTATTTTGAAGCCAGACAATTGGTGTAATTACTTGACACATTATTATTATTATATATGACTATAAATGTATGTTTAAAAGCAATTAATTTGTGATATTTAATTGCCTCTGTGGCCGAACGGTTACCTTGCCGGACAGCCACGCAGAGGTCGATTCCCGGGGCGGGAAAAATATTTGTATGACCTACATTTATTTCTCTCTTGAGTTTGGGTGTAATTTGTGGTTGTATATGTATGTGTATCCATTGCACCCGCGACACAGGGTTTCCTTAGTGCGGGGCTATTTTGAGTGTGTGCGTTATTATCACTATTTGACCAATAAGTACTATACTGTACAGCTATAACATTTTCGGCGTGCCATTGTATATAAATTAGATGACGTTAAACTTTTTACGTATTTGCTAAACATTTTCGAATGTACGTTGTAATTATAAATGTCTGTTGAGAATGTAGAACACAACATTAGCCGGAAATACATACTTTGATCTTGTATCTAAAATCATCATGAACTTTTTTTATGTTTACATCTTAACATTTTTCAATCTGGAAAATGTTATCTTTCATGCTGCTTGGTATACTTTTATATTTTACAATAACTTGCTTCCGAATTTAGTTTACTTAAGGCGAGTTATTTGCAGTAGTATTACGCTTGCAGAAAATTAATGTAATGAAACGTTGACAAGCGCCCCGACGGGGACTGACTGTACAGCGCGCGGTGCGACGTGTCGTTAAATCGCTGGGCAATTTACAAGTTTCAAGATAAATGTGAATTAAATAACAATAGGGCTTCAGTTGAAAAGTTCTGTGTAGTACTTAAAGCTAAATAAATATCTCCATATCAAAATTAAGTGCAAAGTTAGATTTTTATTCTTAAATAATTCGTTTTAAACTATTATTTTACTCTGTTTTCGGGATTTTATATGATAGGGTAAAGTACATCCTATCGTGTAACAAATTATATTCACCTCCAGTACCTTAGTAACATTTGTTCAAGATAACATATACGTAGATTGTGGATCTAACCTATTTGCTATAGTTTATTGCCACATTATCATAAACAAAGTAACTGAAGTACTAGAGAAATGGGCGTTTGCTACGGAACATTTATCGTAAACACATTATGTATGTTTAATTGCTTTCTTATTTACATCAATCCAACAATCAACTGTCAAGCAGCTATCGAGTCGCGTGTTTAAAAATATATGCCTGTGCATATACATATATTATTATGATACACATGTAATATATATTCCCTATATTGAAATATACATTCTTACATGTACAAATATTTTACTCACAATAAAAGGTAGGCGGTGATATTACAAAATGTAGCATTATTTAATTTTGACCAGACTTTTAAGGTGTCAGTATGAAGCTCGTAATGTACTTGGCCCAACTTCCGTCTTTCTGTCGCCAACACCCATTTGGGACCATTGGGGATGTAGTTCCGACGCTTAACTCTCTGGCCCTCCCGGAGAGTCCGTAACGGACGTGGAAAATTGCGTGCCAGAGGTGGAGATGTGAGTTGGTTCTAATTGGTCTCCCAAACATCATCTCATAGGCACTGATGCCAGTTGAACGATGTGGTGTTCTCCGTAATTGGGTCTTAATAATTGTTAATTTGATTTTAATGATGGGAAGCTACACGCCTGTCCATAACACTTGCAGTGCCACGCAGAGCTTTAATTCGCAAAGATCTGTGAGGCACTGCCACTACGCCCGTTACCCTGAGACATAAGTTGACAAGTCCCATGTGCCTGTAATTTCACCAGCCGTACCCGTCAAAACCGGAACACAGTAATGCTAACATTACTGTTTGGCGGCAGAAATAGGTAAGATGGCAGTACTTCCCTAGACGAACTCTTTCACAAGGAGCTCTACTATATAGGATAGCGCGCGAAACCGGCTTCATCCCCAAAGGTGGAATATTTTCTTCTAATTGTCATGGGACCAATACTGAGATACCTTCTTTCCAACAAACAAGAATCATCAAAATCGGGTCACAAATGTAATCGCGTAACAAAAAAAAATACAGTAGAATAGAGAACCTCCTCCTTTTAAGAAATCGTTTAAAAAATCTTAAGTGTGTTTAATCATAACAGGTTCCTTATTTGTCACTTCAGGTCTACGTAAACAATGGCGTATTATTCAAATGCTGTTATCAGCCAATGCCTCAAGTATCCAAGTTATGTCGCTTGCTAAAGTATTATTCATTTTAATATCACATCTTATCGATTTCGGTTTTTATGTAAAATTGTTTACATAGATAAATTTATGTGATACGGACTGTTCTTTTGTCTGGAACATTACTTTCGTTAACCTTGCCTGGTTTTATGTTATAGAAAGTCTTCTCTGGTTTTAATAAATCCATATTTTCATTAGTGTGATTTCGTTCTTTGACTAGTTCTATGCAGTAGATTTATGTGCCTACAATTAATTTCAAGTTTGTTTTCAATTGAGAGCTAGTATCTACTAGTAATTTGTTTTCAAAAGGTTTCTATCTCCTTGAAATACGCCTGTACAACGTTCATTTTACAAAAAAAAGGAAACTACCATCCACTCAATCACCTTGATGGAGAGTAAAATTGCCACTTAGCACATATTGTCACAGAACACAGCGTTATGCACTGTACTAGCCTACCTTATTACGATCTATTTACTCACACCGTTATTAATTTTGTCTATTCAATAAATAAATAGCTGCTAGTTGCTAAATAAATGCTACATTCATCACTACGATATTTATACGGAATATACTGAAAATACTTTTGCGCTTTGAAAAGTTTATTTTTTAATGTAAGCACACAAGCATGCTTTTTTTTTTAATAAATATGTCCACAATCTCACCTGACGTTAAGCGACGATGGTACGCGTTTGCCTAAAAAAATAAAAAATTGAATAGCCCCAAATTGTACTTTTCGGGAACAACAAATACGTAGAGTAATTAATAATAAAAGTATAAGTAGAGTATTCCAAATAAAAGTAGAGTATTCCATTCCTTTTCTGTACGCATCAGAAAGGAGGAGGAGCAAGCGCTAAGTGCGAATGGGTTGTATATCAACGACATAAGGATGGAGTGTTCCGGACGACGGTCCGGACGACAGACGTGTCGTCCGAAGGAGGAACGGTGAAGGTGGAACTAAATTGAGAAATTAATATTAAATTAAAGTGATAATTTTTAGTTCTAAGCGTTGTTTAGTTCAGTACTCAACAATTTTATTTTTTACAACGTGCTTAGGTGCTAGGTCCCGCCATCTATGTTTCCAAATTAATTCGTCAATGTGAATAATAATATTATAAATAAAAAGAAAAATCGTGTTTTACAATTAAACTTACTTATCTGAAAACCTTTAGTGGCCTACTCTCGTTTCGCTGTCAACACAATATTGCATGCTCTTTTTAACATACAGGCGACGGGCTTAAATGTTTTTCTAAACGATTTTGTAAGCACTAACTATAAAGCGTTTTAAGTAAAAAGCGCCTTTATATGCACTTATTTAAAAAGTACAACATTCTAACATTAAAATTTTATATAAGCAGTTTTTCCATTTTCACTTATGAACTATAATAATGGATATCTAGCTAGCTATTTCACTAATGTGAACAGATTTCTTGCCTTCGTCTATGGTCCCTGTAGGGAGTAGTTTCTATGAAGAGTAAATTCTATATAGACTAAGAGTACGGGCAAATGACAGGTTTCCCTCGTTTATACATCATTCAATAATATTATGCAAAATGTTGTCCGTAAGTAGGTAGGTACATTTAAAGAGTAAACA